ACTATTACAAATACTTCAATTTATAATGTATGGTACTGGTACGAGTTACCATAGATGAACTATTACTATTCTCCAACTAATTGCGAACATATTTCGTCGATAAAAAACCATGATTCTCATTTCGAGATAACTATTATAATAACATTCGTACAACTCCCAACGGTGAAAAAAAAGCACTTCTTGACTCTCAAATCGAATATTAGCGAAAACGACAACGTGTGTACGCCCCAAAAAAGGACAAGATACTGGCGGTTTGTTAGATCTAACCTGTTTCCGATGCATAATAATTCCCGTGATCTGTGACGTCGGTTGTTTACGTTTTAAATTCTAAGAACATGGCTTTCGAAAAAATAGCCTCTGTTAATATTTAGGCAGATTCTCGGAACACTATCTTATATGAAATCTTATCAGCTTTCTACAGACTATTTATTTGTTTTGGCATAGCACAATCACAATATACAACAATAATTAGTTTTTAAAGCTATTAACCCAAATTTAATATGTATTTAATATATATTATATTATGATCAAATTGTGTGAGAAATCAAAACATAAACAAAATTCTTACTTTAAAAAAGCGGCAACACTTTATACACTTTTGCCACACGCTGAACTGTCAATAAAATTTGAAATATTCCCGTATCAGTTGCATACCTACAATTGTCTAATCTATTTAATTAAAATTATTATTTTGTGGAATATTAGACTTGAAGAGTTATTTCATAAAATATGTATTATTAATAATAACAAATGTTTTTGGTTATTTAATCAATATTATTCTAAAATTTCCAATATAATGATGATTACATTTTTCTGATTATTACACCATGTTGACGCCTATGAAAGAACGAGCAGTTCCGTATGGGTTTCGTATTATTAGCTGTATTAGGAAAATTTGAACTCTAGGTTGACGTTCTGTAAATTTTAAATATAAGTGACGTCACTTTATATAAATTGTGATGTGCAAGCATTTTTATATGAAAAATGCTATATAGATTTTATTATTTTGGCTGGCTTTTTAATAATCAATTAATCCAACATCGTTAAATAAAGCAAAATATTGACAAATGCAGAGTCAAATAATTAACTAGTATGTATTAACCTGCACCCACATGTACTACTAACAGTTTCATCTACAATAAAGTGTAGGGTAGGTGGGGATAAAGCCCCGAAATTTTTAAGTATTATCTTAAAAAGTATTTTTTTAAAATTAATATGAAAATATCTGGGTAATTTCTTATCTAATGTTGTGTCTTGAGTATATGCTGTATTTAACTATTAGTTATCCACAAAATTAGACTTTCATTCAAAAAAGCATTTGCGGGGATTTGTCCCTTAAAATGGTGTAAGTATTTTACCCTTATCGTAGTAAAAGTTCATAGACGCATAAATAATTCAATGAAGAGGATTTTATTAACCTATAATAACCTTCTCTTACAAAAATTTTAAAAATATATTTCTTCAAAAGTACGAACATACTACTTATTAGTACATAGTAAAACTAGTCGGATCCTCTGAGAAAAAAATCGCTTTATGAAATCTTGAAGAATTAATTTCAGCATGCTTCGATTATCTTAAAATTATATCCTCATCAACAATGAAAGACTCTTTATTTGTTTCTGTGATCTGGTAAGCATTAGGTAAACGTCTGTAAAATACTGCATCATAATCTAGATAGACACCAATAATCTTAACTACATAATGATGGAAATATCTTTTTTTCCTTAATCCTTAACTACCGCTTTGTCATTTGGTATCATTATTGATTCAGTGCATTGGAATAAGTTACTAATCTTTCCTTCTTGGACACTAGCCTCCTCCGCGAAAAAAAAAACATACACTACTATCATGAATGGAATAATCGGCATCGGATTCCGAAGAGGATTGTTTTTTGTAGTTCTTATTTTTGTTTTTTTGTGATCATAGTAGCAAGAAAATATTTTTCATGAAACATTTTTGTCTTTCCAAAGCTTGTGTTGCCTTTTCTGCTAATTGTTCATCCTATTCAGCTTCTTTCTTTTCCGAACGCTATTAAGTAGGTGTTGAAGTCAGCACCTCAATCCTTTTTTAATACGCCTTCTTTTAATTTTTAATTTTCTATTGAGAAGAAAAATCAACTCTCCTCGCAAAGAGTATAATTTCATGTTGGAACTTTTGTAATACATCGTGATCTGCTTCATGGACAATTAAACGTAAAGTGGGTGGTTGACCATGAAGAACATGCTCTGAAACAGAAGACGAATCTGCTAACTGATTTCTTCAATATCTGTGGACAATATCAATAACTGTGGATCATCATTACACGGCTCTTCATTCGGTGGTTGATCTGTAACCTCGGATGGTAGGAAATCAACATTCGAGAAAATATTTGTATCGGAGAGATAGATCTCAGTAACTCGAAAGCTATTGAGTGCTTGAGCTATTTGACCTTGCTCTACTGCTTGTGTCTTGGCGACTTTTTTTTTATCAGTTGGAGCTAAATTTCAAAGCTAAATTTCTTCTTTATAACAGTCTCTAAATTAGCACAATATTGAGAAAGTTTATCCTTATTAAACCCCATTGTTCTGGCAGCATTTGTTTTGCGGCTAACACGAAGAGCTAGCCTATTTCTTTTTATAAAGTTAAGAATAAAATCTCTCCCTGCTAGCTCAGTCTGAGAGGGTAACTTATGGAGAATATTGTTTTCCTCAGAGTATTTGTATAAAAAGAGATTTTGAAGTAATGTCGAAAAATTGCTTGTTGAGATCAATGCAATGAATGAAAATTTCTTTTCGTGATATGTTAAGAATGCTACTTGAAATTGCTCGAGTTTGTCCCCGACTCCTTTGTTGAGTCGGTCTCTTAGATTAGATTAGATTAAAACCCATTTCTTTAGCAGCCTGTCTAATGGATATACCTTTTGCGAGTAACGCACGAACCTCAACTAGTTTGTCTTTCGTCAACGCTATATACTGGTGTTTTTGATAGTTTCTCAAAGAGAAAAATTAAAATGATTAGAAACAGTAACATATGCAACAGACTTTAACTCCATAGCAAACGTTGCCCCATGGCATTGTTCCATAGCAAACTATTTAAATAATTAAATTAAATTACTTCTAATTATAAAGAATATTAGACACACTGAAATAATCACGATCTCAAAATCTAAATGATCACAATAACGATTGACAATTCGCTCTTTTACTAAGTCTTAACAGTATGTCCACAATATTTACCTTAATAAACATAAATATTAGATCAAGACTACGAAAGATCTACTAACCTCATTTTTTTAGCTAACAAACTTTCTGACTCCATGAGATTTTATGGCACATTAAACCGTATAATTACCGATCATCCACTTAGCGGTCAGCTCTACGATATTGCCTGTCAATTCAAAAAGCACATGCGTGGCTTTACCCGGTGCGGGTGTTTACTCCCACCCAACCTATATGTTTATTAATCGTAGTGTGTGTTCATTAAGCTTTAAATGACATTTAGTTTATTCCGATAGCTTCTTTCTTAGCTGAGATATCGCATTTTTTAGTTTTAAAAAACTTGAAAATAACCCAAACTCATAAAACCTTATTCTAACAACCTCAAACCTGACAAACCTACACACCTCAAACTCAACCAACCCTAGAACCCTTACCTTTAAGTTAATAAGCAAGCAAACCCACCTAACCATGGAATCCCTAAGATTAATTGCTTGTTATATCATAACAAAATGACATCACATACAGTAATTGTGTTTACTGATCGAAACAAAACATCTCTAACCCTATCAACCCCCCTACAAACTAATGAAAGCTACAAGCTAATGAAAGATGAATATTTTAAGGTAACTATGACACTGTCATAAAAAGAAGCATGAGTTTGTTTTAAACGATTTTCCATAATTTTGTAGGAAATCACTGAGATGAATGAATACAAAACAATCACATCAACAATGCTAAAAAATTTCAAAAGCTGCTCGAAGAGCTTGATTTTCTCATTTAAAATATTTCTCAGAATGAATTTGAATGAATGAATGAATATTGAATGTAGGTGCATTCAGCGAAGATATGGGAGAGCCATTTCACCAAGACTTCAAGCAGAAAGATCTTCGTTTTCAACTGACAGATTACTGGTCACTTAAGAATGACGTTTTAGTTAAACATAGACGTAAGACAATTAAACGATCTTTTGAATTAAAACGAGATAGATTTTATAAAAAAAAGTACACCTAAATGTTATATCATTGTTATTATTTACCCATACCCATTTGAAAGAGCAAGACTTATAGTATAAGGTGTTATTGCGTATTGTTTTAGGATAGAAAAAATTAATGGGTCTACATAACTTAAAAAATAACAAAAAACCAGACATATACTACAACATAAACTGTCTGATGCAGTACAGTCACGTTCCCCCAGTGCGACAGAGAAAACTGACGCAAAGCATTCCTGCATCTCTGTTTACTCGTTCACGTGACCTTGTCATTGGTCATTTAGGTCACGTGGTAGATAAACCTGGCAAATTAGAAAGGGATGCAGGGACTGCTTTGCGTCAGTTTTCTCTGTCGCACTGGGTAAACGAGCTGATATTGCAACGATCAGTCTATCTTACGTTATATGTCTATGCAAAAAACCGCTATTTTTGCACTTTGTGGGTTATGACATTTCAAAAACTACAGCCAATTCTAAAAATATACTCTCTTTTCTGGATCTCAGACTTGTCGGCCTGTGTAATTCTGGTTAAAACTATGCCTGTTACCAATCTTATTTTATTGTCTACGCTATAAACAATTTCTTAGAATTTTCCGCAAATTTATTTGAATTTGACTTTTTTTATTGGATTTGAAAGAATATTGATTGCAGAAACAATATTTACATAAAACATCGTTATTATACCTAATAAATATGAAATATTTAAAGCTTTAAAAGGTGATTTATTCTTAACGAAATATTTGACAAAAGCTTAGAACTCATGGAAATAGTTTTAGAAACATACCTTTTCATATGTGTTTTTTCTTGTTTTAGCTCCCCATTCGCCACAACTGGATTGGCACTTAGCGACTGCAGCTTATGTGAGTTACGATCAACAACCGTGGTTGATGTCATTCGCCCATAGAATCCTGGCTCACAAACCTGCCGTTCTTGCCCTCATAGATTTTAGAGATTCGCCGTATCGTAATGTACCACCCAAATATCTAAGAGCTCTTGTATATAAATATCAATATACAGGTTGGAATCAAAGGTAAGTTTTAAGCCTAAAACTAAGGTTTTTTGTTCTTTTAAGTAATAGTTTAAGAGCTTGAGATGATTTTGAATAATTGAGGGAATCTAAATTATTATTATAAGTTTTTAGAATCTTATAATAATAACCGAAGTAAACGAAAGAAACGAAAGACAGGGCAAATTTGTAGAATTCAACACCTAGTATAATCTTTGCATAATAAATGCTTTCTTTAATCTCTCAAAAATTAGCAACACCTGCAGTCTCTACCATATCCTCAAGAAAATATATAATAGTTCAAAATCAAATAGACTACATAAAAATAACGAAAAATTTATTAATATGATTGGGGGGTAAATTTGACATTAGATTATGACATAGTTCTTGCAAAATTATGTATAACACTGAACACTGAAGAAAAGAAACCGATAAAGAACAAAAATAAATTAGAACAAACTTAGAACTTCTCAATACCAATAAAACAAAGGTTGAGATTAGTATATAGTATACATATTTGTATACATATTTGATTAATATCTGACAAATTAAGTGCATGAAAACTGGAAGGAAACAAAAAATGTTCTTAAGAACACGTTATCACTAGTTATCTAAAGAAAAACCGATCATACAAAATCAAAAGTGGATGACTCATGAAATACTAAATCTTATGGAAAAAATAAGACAATACAAGCATAAGAAGTTGAGGAATACAAAAAAGTTAACAGTAAAATAAGAAAAATACAAAGAGCAATATGTTAACTGTCATTTCCAGTAATATAACTTGAAAATAAATAGCGCTTGGAGTACATCTTCAGAAATTCTAGAACTGAAGATCAGAATACTGAAGAGCTTTGTGTTTTCGGTACTACTCAGCGGAGCAGTAGCATAGACCACAACAAGATGTCATGCTTAAAATACTCAGAAAGTTTTGACATGTGGAGCTACAGGACAATATTACACATTAGTTGGATAGGCAGAGTACTTAATGAACATAATCATTAATTAGAATGAATAATTATTTACTATCTTTAATGGGAATTAACCCCAGTTTCAGTTTAAAATGCGTCTATTTTGAAATAAATATTGTTTTTGGGGGATTAAACCACAATTGATTGTGATGAGAATAACAATGAGAATTTTGACGTCTAATTTGTCTAATCCGGAATCGTTTTCGTTCGATATCTAACCGAAAAAAATATATATAAATTCAATTTCAAAAATATAAATTTATAAAAAAAAAATGAAAACGATGCTCGGATTGGAAATTGAGACGTCACAACAAATGTAAAATGTAATTCTCTTTACAATCAATTGTGGTTTAATTTCATAGAAGCTGTTATAATAAGTTTTTATTATAATAAGCAATCAGAATACAATGTCATCCTATAGGCTAATGTGTTGACTTTGAAGCACATTACTGCTCATATTTGAGTGATAAGACCTTCTCATGGACATATCCTCTTCAACCATTTTGTAGGTCTTCTGGACAATTTTTTTGAGTCTTCTGGTATGGGGCTTCCATTTGTATGGGTTTTTAATATTATGTACTTTATCTCTCAATGACATCTTTTTATTTTTAGGCCTACGTGTAGTATTTGATTGGGGACATATAGTGAATCTCTTATCATGTGGAGTATTTAGGATCGACTTCTTTGTATAATATAGATGTTCGACTTGCTTACGCATCCCCATAGTTCGGCCCCATATATGTCCAGATGGGTTTTATGATTGGTTTATAAATGAAAAGTTTGTTTTATAATGATACTTTGTACTTTCTACCGATTAGGTACTAGATCTTTTTACTTTAAATCAATTTGTTTGCGTTTTTTGGTTATGTGTTCTTTCCCGGTTAGTCCTCTGTCCAGATGAATTCTTATATATTTCGTGTTTGTGCATTGTGTTATTTGTATGTGGTTATATCGGTGGGAATATACCGCTTGTGGTACACCGGTGGGAACTGGTACTTCCTTAAGGTAAATGTAACATACAGATTTCGTTTCATTAATTTTGATGTTCCATTTTTGCTGTCATATTTTTATTTGATCCAAGTGACTTTGGAGAAGTGTGAAAACTCGCACTACATTTGCGTCTCTTGCAAGAATAACGGCATCGGCAAATGTAACTATTGTGGTTTCTCTAGTAACCAGGAAGTCTTTCGTGTATAGTACATATCATCATCATCAACTAGCCTGAACTGAACATGATCCACTGCTGAACATAGGCCTGTCGCATGCTTTTCCACTTAGTCCGATTTTGCGCCATCTGAATCCAATTTGTAGTCACTCTTTTTATGTCATCTGTCCATCTCGTTGGGGGTCGACCTCTATTTCTGTTAGCTTGTATTCCGTGTCCCCATTCCAAAATTCTTTTTGTTCACCGGTCATCAACTGATCTCGCTACATGACCTGCCCAGTTCCACTTTTGTGTTGTTGTCCTTTCAATAACGTCTGCTATTCCTGATCTTTTGCGTATAGTAGCATTGGGTATTCTATCACGTAGAGAAATCCCTAAAATTATTCCCTCCATTGCCCTTTCCACAACTTATAGTTTACTCACTGTTGTTGTTGTGACTGTTAGGGTTTCTGCGCCGTAGGTCATCACTGGCAAAATACACTGATTAAACAGTTTTCTTTTCAGACACATTGGAATCTCAGGTCTAAAAATATCCTTCATCTTTCCAAATGCAGCCCAGGCGAGGTTTATTCTTCTTTTCAGCTCGATTGTTTGGTTGTCTCGACTTATTCTGATCTCATGGCCCAAGTGTTTATAGGAGTCAACTTGCTCAATACCTTTGTCTTCTACTGAGATGTTTTTGTTGTGGACTAAATTTGTCATAAATTGTGTTTTTGAAAAATTTATTTTAAGACTCTTTTTGTGGCAATATGGAGTTCTTGGAGCATTATCTGTGCCTGATCAAAGCTGTTTGCAATAAGAACGACATCATCCGCAAATTTAAGGTTATTTAAAAATTGTCCATCTACACTTATAACGATAAGACTACCAAAGAGAATTGACGTACTATTAAAAAAATAATACCTCAATCAACCATGAGAGCTTATCGTCTATACCTTGCCCAGCTCAGTATCTCAAGGGTGAGTTCGTCTTGTCTTAAACTAGGGATTGAACCTGAGTTCTTAGTTGATAGCAAATAAGACAAATTTTAACTAAACAAATTTATTAAAAAGAATAAAAAACAATAGTTAACCCTGCCAAAGCTTAACAATTAATAAGTGATACTTATTGCTTCGATCGATGGGATGCTTGTGTGTTCTTGCTGCTATGTCCTCCAATTGAATGTTGTAGTTTGTGGAGAGCTGCAGTCACATGTGGGTGTACGTTCTGATTAAATCCAATAAATGGTCCTCTTTATTTTGAATTTGTCTAATACGTTTACTATGGTCAATAAATCCAATAAAATGCCCAATAAAATTCCGAATAAACTAAAATAAAAGGAACAGCTTGCATTAGAGACACATTAAAAAGAAAGGTTCAACTTCCTTGCCATCTTACAAAATTACAATTGAACAAATAGCGTATGGCAGGGATAAAATGAAATCTGATTGTTACTACTTAGTTCACTTTTGTTAAAGAGTCCTAATGCATATATCAGAAAAAAAATGTGCGTTCGAAAGAAAATAAGGTTACAAATATTGGAAATGCGGTCACAATAATTATAGAATAAATATCACAATGAACGTACTTACCCCAAGAGAATTTGTAGACCATAAAATGAGGCTAATAATAATTTTATAAATACCAAAAAGAGGCAAAAAATAATCCCACCACCTTAGAAAAGTTGTTTTGACAGAAAGTGGGAGACTACATGAAGTTAGCACATATGTCATACGATGTTGCTATTTCATGAAATTAGCTTGTCTGTCAACACAAAACAGAAAGAGAGGGCGAATATTTATTCTACGGGACAGAAAGAGAGAGAAAATAAAGACAGAGGAAGAAAAGAAAAACAGAGGGAGAAAGAGAGGGCGCCAACTACTTTTTAAATAAAAAATAGTAAACATTAAACTAAAGGTAAAGAAATTAATAAATTAATAAAGAAATTAAAATAAAAGAATTATTTAAATATAAATTAATAGAGATGTGACGTTTATAATGTTATACACTGATGCCTTTTTCGTTCCAATCTATTGTTTTACAAGTGTATTCTAGCAAAGTTGTTAATAATTTAGGAGACATATTGTCTCCTTGCCGAACTCCTCTTTCAATACGAAAGATCCCAGTATCTTCATTCATTAAGTCTTACACAGGCTGTAGCATGCTGATAGATGAATCTGATGAGGGATATGTATCGGTGATCTATTCTACATTGTGTTAAAGCTTGGAGCATTTCACTTTGATTGACCGTATCAAATGCCTTTTCAAAGTCGACAAAGACAAGTGTCAGGGGTCTATTATATTTAATGTTTTTTTTTTTTCAATTAACGACTTACTGGTTTGCAAATGATCAATTGTTCCGTATCCAGCTCTAAATCTTGCTTGCTCGCAAGGTTGATAGAAGTCTAGTTTTGATGTCAACCTATTAGTTATTATCTTCATAAACAACTTATAAACGTGAGATAACAAGCTAATAGGTCTTTAGCTCGGTTATATCTCCCTTTTTGTGCATGACTACTATAACAGCTTTATTCCACTGAGATGGTGTAACCTCTTTTGAAATTCATAAGTTATATAATTTGTGTCACTGTTTTCAATACTGTCTTTCCTCCTGATTTAACTGCCTCAATAACGATTTGGTCATCACCAGCTGCTTTATCGTGTTTTTCATTCGATTTAATGACTTTGAGACTTCTTCGATTGTTGTTTCTGGGATATCCTCTGAACCCACATTCTGGACTTTTCTCAACTTGGTGCCGTCTTTCTTACCCCTTTCTCTATATAATTCTGTGTAAAATTCTTCAACTACCTTAATTATCTTATCTTTATCTGTTACCACTTTTCCGTTTCGATCTGCAAGCTTAACAATATTATTCTTACATAGAGCTTGACATCTCTTCAGCACCTTTAAACTTTTATTTTCCTCGACAACCATTGTAATCTTTTTTGTGTTATATTGTCGTACGTCCGTTCTCACTGCTTTATTATTATCTTTATTAAGTTGTTGTAGTACGCGTATTAGTATTCGTATCGTTTTTGTTCTTAAGTTCTCTTCGTGTCTCCATAAGTCTTTTTGTCTCTTGACTGATTTTTTCCCTCCTTTCTCTCTCCTAGGATGTGTATTGCACTTTTTCTCTGCATTTTTAATAGCTTTTATTAAGGTATCATTTAAGGTTTCGACATCCATAACGTCTATATTTGTTGTATCTAGACATCTCAGAATTTCCTCTTCGAAGGACATGGTGTTTTCGATTGGATTCCATCCTATTGGGTGTGTTTTTTTTATCATTTTGTATCTTTTTTTTTTTGAGATTTAGCACGATCTTCGCTCTTACCATTCTATGATCACTTTCCACCGAACAGCTATTAAGAACTGTTACATCATAAACCATGTCTTTGTTGTTGGTTAAGACAAAATCAATTTCATTTTTGGTGACTCTACCTGGACTTGCCCAGGTCCATTTACTTTGGGGACTTTTTTTTAAAAAAGCTATTCATTGCAAAGAGGTCATTTCGTACCAAGAAACCCAAAAACATTTCGCCTCTTTCATTTCTTTGTCCGAATCCGTAGGGACCTATTGCAACTTCGGTCCCGTCCAGTTTCCATCCAAACTTAGTCCCGCCATTACTACGTTGTGTGTAGTAGACGTCAGTTTTACAGCATTTTTTAAGTCTTCATTAAAGGTTTCCACTTTCTCGTCCGAGTGTGTAGATGTAGGTGCATAGGCTTGAATTATTTTAAGGCTGGCTTTTTTGTTAAGCTTCAGTATGCAGAGTATTTTTCTTGGGTTGATACCTTGGATATTTTTAGTGTGTCTCTTATGAATAATAAGTCCAACTCCTCCTATTTTTCTTTGTTTCCCATATAGAAAAGTTGATGCCCCGATTTAAGAGTTATACAGTCTTTTTCTTCGCGTCTTACTTCACAGAGACCCATAACGTCCCATTTTATATGTTTTAACTCTTCTTTTAATTTCAGTAATTTTTCTTCAGATGACAGTGTTCGTACATTGTACGTGTGGACCCGGGGATTCTTCGCACCCTCTGTTTGCTGTCTTTCTTGCTCTCTACCTTGACCAAGGATCAGCTCACTGTCGGGGACTGAGTGCCGTATTTTTGTCGTGTCAAGCATGCTTGAATTTTAGCCATACTCTACCGCGCTGGCTAGTGCGAGTTGGTAGAGGGTAGGATGAAGGTGGGTATTTTAAAAGAAAGATAGGAAAACGGAGGGCAAAGAAAGAGGGAGAACCAGAAGCTAGCATAAGGCAGGGTCACTAATCCCTGTACATACTACATATAGGAGTGGGCAAATAACACTTCCTTATGGTATACCGGATTTGATGGAAAACTGGCTGATGTATGCCGAAGAAGGCTCTAACGGCATACTTTAATTCATCGGTGATGTGTGCAAGTTGTCCCGTCCTGCTTGAGAAATTGATCTCGAAATGCCAAATTATGTGTACGGCAAAATTGACGTAGATCAGGGATAAAGCGTGTTGACTTGCCTACCATTTTCTTCGATAAAGTACGGACCAATGATTCCGTGTTCCGAAACTGCACACCAGTCACTAACTTTTGCACTACGTAAACGAACTTCTTGAACTTCATCTGGTCTGGCAAAGCTCAGAAATCGATTTGTGCGACGATTTACATGGCCCGACAAATGAAAATGTGCTTCGTCTAAAAACCGTACATTTTTGAAAAATTCAGGATTTGCATAATGTAACGCAAGAATTCTGGCGCAATGTTCCACTCTATTGCGATAATCTCGAGGATGTAATTGTGGGTGTACCTGTATCACATACGAAAATTCACCCAGCTCCATCAGGATTCTTTGCAATGAAGATTTTTTTTAGCTAAGATGCAACACTGTCCTTGGCTGGCTTACTTTCGGATTTTCCAAGGTTCACTTCAAATCATGTTCATGGTTTTTGTTGTTGTTAATTGTCTTGGGACTCGGGACGCCCTTTTCGTTGACACAATACATTGCCCGCATTTATGAACTTTTCAATAACCTTCAAAATTACAGCAATACTTGGAGAACATTTATTAAACCATTGTGTGAATTCAATATCACACAACGCAGACTTGCACCATTATGTCGGACGATTCTGTATGAGCGAAAATAATGCTGCATCAGAAACAATTTCTCCTGTGTTCTTAACACCATTTTTAACAATTAGGTCTTACTAATTAATTGTTTAAGCATTCCTTGACAGGTCTAAACTAGTTAATTTGCACGCGCATAAAGAGACACCTATGTTTCAGTGTCAGTACTGTTTATTTCGGGCTGTACTGTATTAAGCTAATATTAATCTTACTTTTGATAGTTATCATCAATATTCGGTCTGAAAGAGGAATAAGTTCATCAACCAGATTTATAAGTTGCTTTTCGAAAATTATAGCCACCCCATTTTCATGAACATTATCCGTTTTTGCAGAGTAATAAGTTCGGTACGTTAACAGGTTACTCTAGATAACTCCGGTTAAGATTCATACATTTAAAAAATTTAACTATTTCAACATATGGTAGTTACTGCCGTTGCGGTATAGCCTTTGACCCAGTTTGACACAGTGGTATACGAAACGTCAAAAAGAAATAATTTAAAACCACGTCCTATAAATCACGAAATAATGTACAATCACAAAATGTCAAGCGAATTATTATAAAGAAGATTTTGAACGCAAATATTTAACCATATGTTATTGTTTTTTAGGAGTCAGAGAGCTTGGTGGACAAGAGAAAAAATTTCCGAATATTTGCCAGTCGTTTCCTTGGACTCTCCTTTCCTTACTGACTACCTGAAAGCCAGAAGTCTACTACCTTTAACTTCAAAAGGTAACGTGAATCCTCTATGGACACAAGCCTTAGATTTCATCAGATATATCGTTAACCATTTGGAAGCAACATTATTGTTCTGGTCAGTGGTTTCTGCAGGCTTTGCCGTCATTTGTACGACTACATCAGTTTCTCACGGCAAAAAATAAATCAATGTTTGGTTATGAGCGTACATGTGTGGTCTATATGTACAGAACTGAAATACTTAACATCAGATTTTTCTTTCAATCACAAAATACATGGATTATATACATGCAGAAATGATACTCAATGTTGTTTTTGTGATAAACTACATAAAATGTTATATAATTTTTTCTTGTGTTAAATCTGTGAATTTAAACATGTATTTTGTTACTGAAAAGCATTAACTACTTCTCTTAACTTAACGTACAATAATTAAAGAGCCTATCTATATTTTAATGATGTCTTTTTTTTCTCTCTTAAAATTTTGCGTAATAAAAATGTCTTAGATGATGAGTTTTCTTGTGAACGTGTTATACTTCAATGTTCACATATAAAATATATTTGTCACCGAGATTTGAGATAGCATGCTAACATGAACAGTAATTGTCTCATAGGTAATCTGATTTTTGAGTAGTGTTTAAAAGATTAAACACTTTCATTAATAATCATTTTAATGTTATTTTTCTCATGAATCCATTGCACGTCATTAGATTTCACGTTGTCATTTCCGTACAGTGTTATTGTATTGTCGGATTAGTAGATGTGTGGAATTACGAAATAGTGAAAATATGAAAATTATTTTTAATTCATCTGTTAAGGCGAATAACAATAGGGAAAAATTGCATCGATAAAATGTAATCAATTACAATCAAGATTTTATATTCTTAAACTTAAATACAGAACAAACTACTAGTTAAAAAATATTCATAACGATTTAAACAGCATACTGATATAAATTATGAATACTATATGCCATTAAATTAATTTTTATTTATTCTGTTTGCATTCTTAATATCTCAATTATCAAATAAATATCCTTCCAACATATTAAACGATTTTATCATCGTCATTTTCTTAAGTAACTTCTCGAGTGAAGTTAGCAACTAGTATGGCAAATTTTTCTGTCTTTAGCTTAACGAATGGACAATTTTAATTGAAACGTTCGTTTCCAGATGGCGTTTATTTTAGTTATAATTTCTGCTTGAAGATTTCTATTGAATACAATGGTTTTTGTTTTGGAAGCATTAATTTACAAACATATTTGCCAGTACGTTTCATCATTCTGTTTGGAGGGAAATTATCACCATAATAGTTCAGTAATTATTCACCGAAAATCTTTTTGGGTCCTTCAAGGCTCTAGGGATCTACTAAATTAGGTATTTTGTGGCAAAAATGCTAAAAATAAATACCTATTGACATAATTTTAGGTTTGTTTATATTTCACAAATCTTAATATAAATGCATATCGCAACCCTGTAAATAGTCTTCTTCTTCTAATGGCGCTACAACCCTTTGTGAGTCTTGGCCTGCTTAACAATATTCTTCCATTCTGCCCTGTCGGATACTTTCCTTCGCCACTGCCTGATGTTCATGGTTTTAAGATCCCTCTCTACGTCGTCTATCCATCTTTTACGGGGCCTTCTTCTTGTTCTGTTTCCTTGGGGCTTCCATCTCTGGACTACTTTTACAGCTCGACTATCTGGCATTCTTTCTAGGTGACCAAGCCAGTTTAGTCTTTGTGAATTTACAAATCTAACAATATCTGCGCTCTGCATTATTTCATCCAGCTCGTGGTTCATTTTAATTCTCCACGAACCATCGCTGCATTGGGTTGGTCCAAATATCTTCCTTAGTATTTTGCGCTCAAATATTCTCAGTTAATTTTCATCAGTGGTTGAGAGGGTCCACGTTTCACATCCATATGTGACCACTGGTCTAATTACTATTTTGTAAATTCTAAGCTTACACTCACGATTCAGTAACTTACTTTTCATTAAGTCTTTGTATGCATAAAAGCATTTATTACCGCTAAGAATCCGTGCTTGTATTTCTTGACTGATGTTGTTGTCATTTATTATTGAGCCTAGGTAGGGAAAATTGGAGGCATATTTGTAGGCATGGTTGTCTACTTTCAGATTCTCATGTTGATTCGTTTTTGTGCACTCCATATATTTTGTTTCGCTTTCATTTATATATAGACCAAACGTAGCAGCTTCTCGTTTCAGTTCGATAACTTTTTCGCTTAATACCCTTTTGTTGCAGCTTATTATGTCAACATCATCCACATATGCGCATATTTGCATTGATCTTGTATTAATACAGCCGTTTATATCGAGTTTTCTAACAACAGCTTCTAAAGTTAGATTAAAAAGTGTTGTTGATAAGGCATCACCTTGTCTAACTCCATTTTCAATATCAAAGGCTTGCGTCATATCTCCATCTATTCTGACCTGTAAATAGTAGCTAACAATTAATGTAATATTAATGTAAATTATTGTTTTTCGAGTCCTAAACTTAAAACAGCTCTATAAATTTTATTTTACTGGGAATATGAAGTCAAAATAATTATAAAATTATCAAAAAATCGTCATTATATTTTCTGCTATTGTGAACGTTGGTGCAGTTTCAGAATATTAGCTTAAATCCATAATAACAGTTGGTTATACTGTGACGACGCAGAAATCTCAGTGATGACGTGCAACAGACTTGAGAGGAAAATGTATATATATTCACTTTGATATAATATCGGTTGATAATACTGATTAATATTATAATACTGATTAATATTCATTTCACCAATAACCGATACAGAAGAGATGTGAATATTCAAACGTTATTGTTTATATGTTACATTCTGTCAGCTGATAGATTTGCTGCTTTTTTATTTTTATTATCTAAAATGCTAATATCATGTGAAGTATTAAGAATATTATATTGCAAAGCAATAGAACTGTTGGAAAAGCAAAATTCATACTGCGTGAGCTCAGTTCTGTACTTTATTTGCACTGTTTAATGATATAGAGGAGTTTATAAAGTTTTATATGTCTTAGAAATACTTAGAATCTATCAATGTGTTGTGTGTGAGTGTTACGAGATATCTGACTGGAGGTCTTCACTCAGTAAAATTAATAGAGGTTTTAAATATTTAGACTCTTGTCGAAATGTTTAAAAGTGAATAGATATTACTATTTATATATTTTTACTTCGGTTATAGATATGATTTTGGAAATTTGTTTTTTCATTGTCTGTTTAAAACAAGTGTCGAGGAAAGTAACGATGGTATTTTATCTTTCCTCGTCCACTGTAGTAAACAACAAACAAAATTTAATATATTTTCAAAATAATGTATTTCTTTGAAATAAAAATTTAATTGTAAATACACAGTTTTGTTTACTTTTACTATTTTAATTTGTTCTCGACTACAGTACAACTCTCATGTTTTTTATATAATTTGTTTTTATTAGTAATAGTATTTATGTCATCTTAAATCATTGTAAGCATTTGTTTTGTTAAAATCAAGATATTTTTTATATTATTTCGTAAAAATAATAAAGTACAGCACGTCAAATATGTATTTTTATTCTTTTTTTTTACTAGGAGCATACATAAGGCGGATAAGACATTAAATGTGGAGAGATAATTAAAAATCACGCAGAGTTGGAGAGTTTAAAATGGTATCAGATGTATACAATCTAAATATAATTTCGAAAAGCCGTTTACCGTCCTCTTTTCAGGAGAGGACGAATCAGAGGAATAAAATGAATACCATAATGACAGATCAATGCTGGTATACAGACGGCTCTAAAACCGATGAAGGTGTTGGGTCTGGAGTATACAGTGACAAACCAAGGCTAAGCCTTAGTCAAAACTAACTGAAAAACCGCTTTAGTATCTTTCAAGCACAGATAGTATCTCCCGTTAAGAGAGATAAAATGCCCTCACTCATAGAATTCACTTTTTTAAGTTCAAGTAATTAAAAAATAAGACTCAGGGCAATATTAACACTATACCCCTCCTCCCATTCCCAAAAGCGTCATTTTTTGAGGCAAAGCTTCTATATTAACGTTCTATTACTTTTTCCTCTATAGTAAAGTGCTGAGGCGAGCGTCACGGAACTAGCACCACAAGAAAACATCACGAAATAGCGGCTCTTCCCATCGATTCTCTCTACTCTCGATCAATTCGTTTCTAGTCAGCATATGTTTATTCTAAGCAGGTTTAAATTAAAAACTGCATGAAAAATAAGTAACTGAATGCAGACATTAAATGAGAAATTAAAAGAATATCTATCAATGAAAGATTCGATTCTCATAAATGTCATCAAATTCATAACAATATTAAATCATATATTTAAATTTTGTTGACACTTCTCGTTTTAATTCAAATATACACAAGTTTTGTAAAACCTTCAACTATGCGTGTGAATTTTTTGAAAGTTTTAAATTGGTTGCAACCCACCGAAAAAATGCCGCTTTTGATGGTAGGGTTAGGGCATCGAGCAAAAAGAAACGAGGGAATGTTAAGGTAGTGGGGGCAAAAATATTGTTAGACAGGAAGTGCAATCTTGAGAGGCCACATTAAACAAGGAAAGAGAATCTCTTTCCTTGTAAGAAATCAAATTTAGTTGGGTTATGTTATTGTTTGTCCCAACTGTCACATGAAAGATTATTTTCATTTACTATTGAAGTTTTTTAACAATTGTTTCACATTTTAGACTATTATCATTATTATTTAACTAAAACTTTATTGTGTTCTAGTGTTAAAAAAAGTATTTTAAGTATATTATGTAATATAAAATAAATAAATAGATAAATTAGAACCCCTACACCACTGTATGATAATTGTGAAGTGTCATGAAATTTAAATTTAGCGCATTCGCATTCCCGGATATGTCCGCCATCAGAGGCCACTTTTTTGTCTCCTTTTAATAACGATTAGATTCCATCATTGAGTTAGTATATACTGAAAATATACTAACTCAATGGATTCCATCTTTTGTCTTTTTGCTCGATGGGTTAGGGGGTGGCGGGTTAAAATTGAGCGGAGTCAAATTTTTTTATTGTATAGAACGTAAAAAATGAAAAAAAGAATTGAATTCTGGGGACAGATCTATAAAAATTGTATCTGATATCCAGGTAGCATTATAGGCACTGGAATCAAATCGGATTCACAGCACAGCCTCAAGAACAATGTCGGACTGGGTGGAACGGATGAAACGTAACCACTAGCACAGAATAAATAACAATCAGAATGCCGACTCTCAGGTGCCGCCTGTTGTCATCACGCGATCGTCATATTTTAAACGGAAACATAGACCCGAATTGAGAAATTTGTGACAAGCTACGACATAACTGTAATTTAAATTTTTAGAGATTAATAATTTAGTACATTTGAAATAATTTAATGTATTCTTCAACTAAAAGTACAAATAAAATAGTGGATATTATGTCTATAGTTGCAGTACATAAATTAAACCGGGTTAATGTTTCTACACACAACAGATAAAA